CACACACACACACACACACACACACACACACACACACACACACACGGTGTAGGTTACATACATAAAACAATTGTGATGGATATGGTGGCAGACACCTTTAATCCCAGTATTTGGGAGGAAGAAGCAGAAAAACCAAACAAACTAAAAAGAAAACAGTGTAACCCACACGTAAAAACTCACTGTTTGTAAGAGATTCTCACAGAGCTTCTTGGCAGCAGCTAGGCCTTCTGGTTTGGGATGACTACAAAGAAAAAGAATAATCCTAATTTCTCTTTTCATGCTACTATATAAATTTACTTTATTATATTCATTAAGCCTTCAAATCTAGCCCTTTGAAAAGTCATCAAATAGGAACACAAAAAAACCTAAGTCTTAATGTAACTAATATCACTACATATATTTTATTGGACCACTTCTCTGGGTAATGGAACTTTTTTACCTTTTTGTGATTTTTTTTTTTAATGTACATATGTATGTGTATTTGAGCCTATGTCATGTGTATGCAGGTGTCCACAGAGTACAGTACAGGGGGATCAGATTCACTAGAGCTGGAGTTATAGGCAGTTGTGAGACATTTGATGTGTATACCTGGGATATGAATTCAGGTCCTCTAGAAGAGCAGCAAGTGCTTTTAATCCGAGTAATCTCTCACCCCCGTAATTCTGTATTTTTATTAACAAATTATAGAATTCTCCTGTTTTTTCCTCTCATGTTACAATTAAGCCCATTTTCTTTTGTTCTTTCTGAACCATTCCAGTCTGTACTGACAAAGATTTGAACAACTCTGCTTCTATTCATACCTGATGTAAATATACATGGGTTCAAAAGCTTCTCGGCCTGAGGCTGGCTCAATGCAGCCTGAACCTTTGCCCCGTAGGAAGACTTTGGCACCTGTTTCAATTTGAATGTGTTGCAAATAGGAGCAGCCTGGACCTTCCACTTTCTCCTTAACATTAAAAGTGGGTACAGCATGTTCTAGACCCACAAATAATTTATCTTGAACATAATGCATCTGTAAAAGAACAGAATACCTTGATTAGTATATGATGAAACCCTAATCTTGTATAAAATTATCACACAAAAACAGGACGACCCTCTACTTTTACTCTCATATAGATCTCCACCAAGATTTGCTTTTTCGTTTTTTTTTTAAATGAGACAGGGGTCTTGGTATGTAGCTCAACAGTACTAGAAATTGCTGTCACTGAGGTTGGCCTCAAACTCTCAATCCTCTTGCCTCAGCCTCTATGTGTTGATTTTAGGCCTTTGCCACCATGCCCAGCTTTCAAGGAACTTCAGTAAGAATTTTAGGGGTTGAGGATATAGCTCAGTTGCCTGGAATACACAAACCCTGGGTTCAATTACCAGCATAAAAGGGACACCATGGCATATGGCCTTCCCAGCACAAGGGGGATGGGAGCAGAAGTATAAGTAGTTCATGGTTGGGGCTGGAGAGATGGCTCAACAGTTAGGAACACCAGTTGTTCTCGCAGAAGGCCCAGGTTCAAATCCCAGCACCCACATGGCAGCTAACAACTGTCTGTAATTCCAGTTACAGGGGATCCAACAGCCTCTTCTGTCCCCCGTGAGCATTGCACAACATGGGTGCACTTACCTACATGCAGGCAAAACACATGTAAACATAAAAATATAAATAAATAAATAAATAAATAAATAAATAAATGGCAAAAAAAAAAAAAAAGTTCATGGTCATCCTTGGCTACATAGTGAAATACAAGACCAAACTGGGACACCTAAATTTTTTTGAGACAGGGTCTACCTATAGTCCCAGCTGGCCTGGAACACACTATGGAGACCAGGGTAGCCTTGAACTCACAGAGATCTGCCTGCCTCTACCTCCTGAGTGCTGGCATTAAAAGTGTGTGCCACCATGCGTAGCTGGGACACTTAAATTTGTGGTGCTGGGGATATCCCTCAATTGGCAGTGTTTGTCTACCAAGCATCAAGTCCTGGGTTTGATCCCCAGCACTGAATAAAAAACCAAGCATCATAACACATGCCTATAGCTCTAGCACTTAGGAAGCAGAGGCAGGAATATCAAAGGTTCAAAGTCATTGAAACCAGTCTGAGCTGTTTAGAAAATAAACTTCTGGAGCTAGGCATGGCGGCACATGCCTTATTCCCAGAGGCAGGCAGATCTCTGTGAGTTCAAGGCCAGCGTGGTCTATATAGTGAGTCCCAGGCCAGCTGGGGCTACAGGGAGACCAAAAATAAATAAATAAATAAATAAACTTCTGGAGCTACATGAATAGCTTAGTGGAAAGTACTTACACAGCATAATCAAGACCACATGCAAATTTACCAGTACCACAAAAACCAAAACCCTTCATGTTCATGTATCTACTTATCTTACCTACAAAACAGACCTTATTCTAGTCAGTAAGTTATTTGAAATAAACCAACCCACCAGAATTCAATGTTGACAAAACATACCCACTTCTCTTCATCGTTAAATTCATCAAAAAAGTATAGCAGAATGTGCTGGAAAATGTCGGGTAGGACAGTCAGCCCTGTGATTCTTCTCTAGTACGGGCTGCTCTCCCCACCCCTTTTTCTAGGAGGAGTGTATCAGCAAAGTCTTGCTTCATCAGACTCAGCCTTCTTGGTCCTCCGGTTACTGTCAAGCTTACAAATGCAAATTAAAGCCAGTATCTTCACACTGTACAATCTGTATTCCCTTTGCTCTATCAATCCCCCTTTCTAGATCTTATCAATATGAAGGTCTTTACTTGATGTCTATTACATAGTCTATAATGTTACAGAAAACTAACAGCAGGTCATTCTCTGGAATTTCAGCATTATTTTCTTCCTAAATATTATCTTGCACAGATCCTTTTTACAGAGCAATCTCTTGCCAAAACCTACCCCTGACTGGAAGGAAGGCTTCTGATTAATAGCAGGAGACAACTGAGCAATGGGTGCTGGCTGGTGATAGACAGTGACTGTTGCACCATTAAAAGTTGGACTTGTCCCTGTGGCAGCCTTCACCACTCCATTGGTGATTATTTCTTTGATTCGGTTTACAGCTCCTACAGAAAAATAACAGTTAAGATACTGTACCAAAGGGCTGGAAATATAGCTCTGTTAGTGCTTCCTTTGCATTCAGGAGGCCCTGGGTTCAATCTTTACCATCACAATAAATAAACTATATCAAAGAATGAGCTGTCTCTTTGTCTTTTTAAATTATCCATATATGAAGTTCCCATCTCTCTAAATGCCCATAACCCAGTGGTTAAAAACACCGGCTGCTCTTGTAGAGGACCCAAGTTTGGTTTCCACTACACACATGGCTGCTAACAAACTGTCGGTAACTCCAGTTCCAAGGTACCCGACTCCCTCTTTTGACTTCCACAGGCTTTGCGTGCATGTGGTACAGTTATGAACATACAGGAAAAACACTCGTACACATAAAAACAATTAAAGACCAGTTATCAGAGACAGTATGCTAATGTTATACACAGCATTGTACATTGTTCTTTGCAAGAAGTCACATTTGAGTCAAAAATTACTTACTGTCCACTAATTCTCGTGTCTGGCCCTGAACATGAAGATACAATGGACGATCCCTATAAAGAGAAATATGAACAGCTGATCCCAGGGCTGGGGAGGTAACTCAGTTATTAAAGGGAGGGACCCATATTTGATCCCTATAACCCACTTTAGAAAAAAGTCAGTTATGGGGCTGGAGAGATGGCTCAGCGGCTAAGAGCACTGATTGCTCTTGCAGAGGATCCGGGTTTGATTCCTAGCACCCACATGGCGGCTGTAAACCGTCCTTAACTCCAGTTCCAGGGGAATCCGAAGGCCTCTTCTGACCTCTGAGGCAATGCAAGACATACATGTAGGCAATACACTCACACACGTGTGGTGTGTTGGTGTGGTGTGGTGGTGCACGCCTTTAATCCCAGCACTCGTGAGGCAGAGGCAAGCAGATCTCTGTGAGTTCAAGGCCAGCCTGGTCTACACAGTGAGTTCCACAACAGCTGGGGCTATGGGAAGACCCTGTCTCAAAAAGACCAAAAGAAAACAAATAATTATTATTAAAAAAACAAAAAAGGGAGCTGGAGAGATGGCTCAGTGGTTAAGAGCACTGACTGCTCTTGCAGAGGACCCCGGTTCAATTCCCAGCACCCACATGGCGGCTATGAACCATCCTTAACTCCAGTTCCAGGGGAATCCGAAGCCCTCTACTGACCTCTGTGGCATTGCAGAACACAGGTGCACTCACATGCAGGCAATACATTCATACACATAAAATAAAAATAAAAATAATAAATTAAAAATATATATAAAAAAAAAAAAAAAAAAAGCCAGTTATGGTAGAAATGGCTTGTAATCCCAGCACTGGGGAGGTAGAGACAGTTAGGTCCCTGGAGCTGGGGCTTAGTGAGAGACCCTGACTTAAAAAAGGGATCCTAGCCCAGCATGGTGGAACTCGACTTTAGTTCCAGCACTCAGGAGGCAGAGAGAGAGATCTTTGAGATCGAGGCCAGCCTGGTCTACATAGTGAGTGTGAGGTGACAAGCCAGCTGAGGCTACACTGGCTGCTCTTGCAGAAGACCCCAGTTTGAATCCCAGCACCCACACGGTGGCTAACAACTGTCCAAAACTCCAGTTCCAGGTGATCTGATACTTTCTTCTGACCTCTGTGGGCATTGAACTACATGGTTACACTTACATGCATGCAGGCAACACACTCTAAATTTTAAAAATACTTTAAAAAAAAAGGGATTTTGATGTGAGTGTGATGACACACACCTTTAATCCCAGCAGAAGCAAGGAAGGGGATGGATCTCTAAATTCAAGATCAACCTGCTCAATACAGCAAGTCCCAGGCCAGCTGAGGCTACACAGGGAGCTCCAGACCAAACAGGGTTAACAAAGTAAGACCTTGTCTAAAAAAAAATTCCTAAGACAATACCCAATGTTGTCCTCTGCTCCCCACACATGCCCCCCTCCAAAAAAGCTGATCCCAAGGTGGCCAAACCTAAAGTGTTAAATGGGTGACCAATTCTAATATGCAATGCTTAAAACTGAGTGCTGAAACTTAATGTTAACTTAAGAACAATTTTAGGGACCGGAGAGATGGCTCAGTGGTGAAGAGCACTGGTTGTTCTTGCAGAAGACCTGGGTTCAAATCCCAGCACCCAAATGGTGGCTAACAACTGTCTGTAATTCCAATTCCTGGGGATCTGACACCCTCTCTGTCTTCCACAGGCACTGGACATCACGGGTATGCTTACATACATGCAGACACTCACATTCATGCACATAAAATAAACAAAAACAATTTCGTAAAAAAAGAACCAGACTCTGATAAATAAGTTTGCAACCAGACATAACTACAGGAACCAGGATAATGGAAAGGAAACAGGGAGGTAAAGGAAAAGAAATAACCTGAAAGA